TCTGGTAAACTAACATAACTATGGAAAATCACCATTTTTAATGGGGAAATCCACTACAAATGGCCATTTTCAATAGCAAAAGCTATTGGCTCAACAGCTGAGATATGCTGAGATCAAAGTCATGGTTTCAGAAACCATCAGAAGCATCGATTTGATGTTTCAAAGCAGAATATACACCCCATGCCTAAATTTATGCCTAAATTTGCTTTAGAAATGTAGATACCTGGTAGATTTTCTAAGTAGGTAGATATATAACTAGAATAGTTCATGGGGGGCCCACCTGGTAGCATCATGAGTTTGGGATCCTGTGGAGCTGTTGATTCTGCAACTGGTTCTGTCTGAAAATGGGGTATACCGGTATACCAATGGTCAATCCGATGGGTTTCCCCCCATGTGTTGTGGGAAAATGATGATCAAAAGGATGATCAACATTGATCACTTATCATATCCGCGGGTTTCAGACATTTGCAGACAATTCCACATTGAGCATTGTAAGTTACCAATCTCGGACATCGCCATGATGCGATCATCCCAAAGCTCGTTGCAAGAGAGGTCGGAAAGGCAAAGCTCAGGGCTGGGATCTTAAGACATCTTGGGACATCTTGGGACAAGGGACAGGTGAGTGGAAGAGTGCTTGTAGTAATGTCGAACCAATGTCAAACCATGTGAAACTTGGATGAATAAACCCCTAAGAACTACTAGTAACTATCAGATTATGAATGATTATGACATATTATGAATATTCCGGGAGTACCCCCCCCATGATTCTTATGTTCATTTCTGCCGCTGAGGCACAGGGAAGCAGGCGAAGCAGGACTGAAGCCAAAAAGAAAGTAATTTAGCGGCGATTGGGTCTCTTCCCCATTTTGGGAGAAAACGAAAGTGCATACAAAGTGTGGATGTTTGATCAGTTTTCGGTTTCTGATCCAAACAAGTATAGATTTTTCTTTTCAAACATGAACCTATATATATAATTATATATATATGATTGTACCTTGAATCTTGAACAACTTCTCTGACCTTGAACAACGGGTGAGAATCGCAAGCTGTTCATTCAAATTACTGTAATTATTTTCATTGTTTGCCAAGGGAGGAGGTCTATTTGAAAGGTCGCCAAACAGTCTCAAGCAGGTGTTTTGAATTTGTTTTTCCTCAATTTTGTATGGGATTTACCATTTCGGATGATTGTTTTGTTTTTTCTTTTAATTAGCCAGTTTCGTGTGAAAGAAAAACAGGCACCAAACCAAAAACTCATATCACGTTGGTTATACAATGTTATACATCCCATGATATATCCCATTAGGTTACTCATATTCAATTCTATTATTGTTATTACTGGCCATCAAATATCCCATAATATCACAGCAGCGCCCTTTTCTAAGCGCTAGGCTTTGCAGCTCCAGTAGCTCCAGTGCTCAGCGCTTCGAGTACCGGCCGGGGAGGACACGGAAAATCAAAACTGATTGGATGTCTATTGATTTAATTGGATTGCCTATGATTTCTATTGATAAACATCAATTGTAAATGGATTACCTATTGATTTCTCTGATGTTTTTGGATGCAAGCTATTCTGAATATGAAGTTTTTTGATTTAACTTGCATATTTAAGCAAGACACATGGGCATCTCAATGGAGTACCTATGATTTTTCTTTTTTAACAAACCTGTTCTTTGATGGGGCCGTCGACATAGTCTTGTTTTAACAATACAATATGTTTTAGGTTTAGGTCTTTGAGATACATTTGGGGCGGGACCTATTCTTTCATGTTTTTTGATTTGAATTGTATGTTTGAGCAAGAACTATGGGGATAGAAATGAATATAACCTCGAAAAAAATAAAACCTGGAGATCCTATTCTACATAAGTCCACATTACAGCGAATTAAAACAGAAACCAGGCGTTCTCTATTCTTTGATGTTTTTCGATTTAAGTTGGAGATTTAAGCAACACATATGGAGAGGTTTAGTCAAGTCGGGATATTATGGCATAATAATAACTTACAACCAACTTGATATAATCTTTGGATGTCTCTGAAACAGGGGATACCCCCAAGTAATGGCTGTGTCAAGGGAAGATTATGATTTACCATCCACAATTGAGGCTTCCCTATTTTCAGACAAAGCCATGTACAATCAGAGATTTTGCTGTTAGTTTAAAGGGTGCCAGGGTTTTGAACCGTAAACATCATAAGCAATAGTATCTACATGTTAGTCAGGACAGTCAGGGGGAATCACGATTTTCTTGGCTGAAACCAAAAGGGCAGTGATTGGTGGGAGTACTACTGGCTGGATCACGGTAAATGATGGTGACTTATGGCAATTCAGCCAGAATTTTAGGAACCAGAAATGGAATTAGAAAAAAATACATGTTGAGATCAACACATCCCAAATTGGATTGGACAATTCGAATGATTATTTCGCAGCAAAAATGGGCTTCGAAATCACACAATTTCGCGGATGAGAAATGATGGGAACACATCATTGTCATCGTTTTTGCACCCGGGAGCAACGACTGTTTGAGATTGATCCCGCAAATTGGAGGGGAACTCAATGACAATTTTTTTTGGGATCGAACTGGTCGAACCGCCAAAATATGCCAAAATCTTTGGGAGAAACAAGGGGAAACTCCAAATTTGATGGTTTCATACCAAATTTTGTGGGTGCTTTTGGTACTTGTACTTCTCGGTGGTGCCATTTGGTGAGCTTTTTGATGACGATGTGTGACATTTTAAGTACCTCATATCTGGATATGGCGTCAGGTCTTGTGAAATTTGTCCTATGTTCTTTGAAGACCTTGAGCAAAACAAAACAGACTTGTACAGGAGCGGAGCGGTACTTGAGCAGAGAAGGTGGGAATGGGAAAACTTTGGATGGGGTTGAAAAGAAGTGAAACAGTCAGGGGATAGCAAAACGGCGAGTAGAATAAGCAGACTGTGGGTTGATCATAGTCGCAAGATGTCGCTTTTGGCATATCTGGCTGTTGATCCATCCCTATCTGACCGATCTTTTGTCACCGATCCATTCCAGGCTTTGACATCAGGTGCTCGTGTGGCCTGTGGCAGCTGTAGATGATTAACATTGACCGAATCGACCACCAGCTTGAGAGGTCAAGAAATCTTGCGATGGGCACTGCCAGCAGTGGCATTGTTGGTTGGACTTTTTGTGGAACATGCCGCTCGGGCTGAACTGATGCCTCTTTGATCCTCTTTGTTTGTTCACTTTCTATAATACAAGATATTATCAATCATATGCTAATACGCTATACAAAGATTATCGGACACATGGTTTGAATATATGACCCACATATGTACATAATACATACATACATGCATACATGCATACATGCATACATGCATACATGCATACATGCATACATGCATACATGCATACATGCATACATGCATACATGCCATGCATACATGTATGCATGCATACATGCATACATGCATACATGCATACATGCATACATGCATACATGCATACATACATACATACACATACATACACACATACACACACATATACATATGATACATGCATACATACATAAATTGCATAAAATACATAAATTAAATACACACATAAATTACATTACATTACATAACACAACATAAATATATAGAATTATATATATATACACGTAAAATTATATAACATATCTTAATATCTGTAGATATATATGTAAATTTGGCATAGATTCGCAGTTGTGTGAGATCATTTTCAGCAGCATGGACGGACAAGGCGTATTTGAAGTTCCGATGTCTGAGGTTGGTTTGTACCTTGCAACGTTTTGCCGGCATGTTTCGATGCAGCCGCTGGGATCGGGTGGAGCTGTGTCCAACTATGTCCAACTTCGCAGGCGCAGCTATGTGCGATGGATGGTGCCTATGATGCAATATTTATCCTTTGGGAATCAAACATATGGTTTGCTGGAGAATCCTTAATTATATGTGATTTCCCCATTAAGACACCCTTGATATCCCTTGATAATTGATGATAATTGAGGATTTTCCAGCAAACCATGTTATATCTTTTCCAGGCATTAAGACACCATAGAGGATGTTCAGTGGCCATGAGTTGAATCGCCTTGCCGGTTTTGTCTAAGGATGAGCTGCACCGACCCCACACAGACTCCATGTCCTTTGCCTATGAAGGCACCAGATGTCACGTCATGTTTTGGGCGAGGTTAAAGGCCTAATTGTGTTGGAGCTCAGTGTTACACACCAATGGCAAAAGGATGCAAAAAGTTATATCTGATATTTCAAGAATCAATCAATTATTCTCCCAGAATTTCTTGGAGCAACAGTACATTATATATATAATTCATTATATGATTTGTGGCTAAAAACCCACCAATTTCTTCTAGTTGACCACTCTCCACTTCTGTCAGGCGCTGACGCCACAAAGCCCAGGCCTTGGAATTGGCCTGGAATTGGCCAATGGCGATCCATCGATCCATCTTTGGACGACACGTGTTGTTTCTATACAAGAGAAATGGGACTATGGATTGAAATCATAGATGTCCCGGTATTTCTTCATTTTTCTTGTTTAACCATGAATTGAAGAATTGTTTCAAATGCGTACTTCGGGCAAAGGGTGCTGTTGCCACATTTGGACTGGTTCAACACTTCATGCATCTGATGTTTTCGGATTGCAACTCCAGAATGAGCTGTTCTGATAGTTCTATTTACCCCGTTACCCATCATTTTTGAATGGCTGATTGAATCTTCACGCGTTTGCACCAAGCCTAGAAACCACTGAGGGGCGTGGGATCTGACTTGGGCTTCTTGGTGATGGTCTTGGAAGTGTTCATGGACTTGCTTCCGGTCCGCAACTCGGTTCTTTGCTCTGACATCCAATGACCACAAAAGGATGACTGTTGTTTTGCAGGGCTTAGCATTCCGAATGGTGTCCCCTGTGGAATTTCTGCTGAATGTATCAAACAAGGTGGAGTCTAATAAGTTGTTGTAAGTATATATAAGTTCAATTCCAAAGTTCTTCGTTTTTTCTTGAGTTGGCAAACCGGATGCTTGATTGGCCAGGTGGTTTGCATTGGTCTTGTGCCAACCTCAGCAATTTCCATGGTCAGTGAGCGATAGTGAAATAAATCAACTGGCTAGATCTTTTTAAACTACACTCTGCTGCAACATCCTCTTATCTATCCCTGCGCCGCTTTTTCCACGCCTTTTCCCTTGAGGGTATTTTTCCGCAGGAGAGCGTGACGCGAAATGTGACTATGACATCGGCTAAAGCATTGCTCATGATGGTATTCTGATGTCCAATGCAGCCACAACTCTCACGGGGAAAATGTGGAAGTATATGGCAGTATACTCAGTATACAAAAAAGATGCCTTTCTTTTTTTTGTTGGCTGGTGTATGCTGGTGTAGTATAGCAGTATAGCAACCCCCCTCCAAATCTCCGTCCCCATGAGGTCCTGCGATTCGGTGACTTGCGGCTTTGGTGTCATACCATGTTGGTGTCCGCGTTGCTCATGGTACTCAAGGCGAGCTTGACCCCAAGTGGCCTGTTGGTTGAGAGTGATAGCCCCATATAAGTAGGGGATCAACGGCAAAATTAACAAATGTGATCTGTGTATGAGCAAAACTTTGTTGGCAAGAATACAAAGGTGTCACAGAGATATACAGAAATCAGACTTTTCTCAGGATCCATCGTTGCAAAACGAGGTAGGTTGACTCCATAAAACGAGGTCAGGGTTAGAAGCACTCATCTTGGAAGACTATAAACGTATAAACAATGTAATTATATAATTAGGGATGCGTGTAATATCCTTTCATATCCTTTCAATTTGTTTTCTCTTTCCAAGGAGAATAAAAGTCGTTGCATATAGATACCATGGCCATCCAAAGCCCTTGGGCGAGGGATTTGCCTCTTGGGCCACGGTCGTCCCAGACAAGGGCTGGAAGGCGGCTGCGATCGACTCGATGGGGCCATGCAATTGTGCGGCAGATGCAGTTGGACCCAGTCTAGTTGGACACTTTCCGAAGCCAATGATCAGTTTCTGCCACTGGAACGGCATTATGGCATGTCAGGGTATGCAGTCGTCTGTACTTTTGTGTACCTGGTGATTCGCAGAATGTTTCAGAAATTTTCAGAACACACATTCCAAGCTCTAGAATCATTGGACCCGACTTTCCCTGCTGTCCACCAGCGGCAACAAGAAATGCTTGCAGGTTTGCCAAGCGCGTTTGGGACTAGATGGCTTGCGGTACTACAGAGAGGATGGCATAACTCTATTGGTTTGTATTCCGTAGTATGAGAATGTATGAGAAGGTCCAAGGTAGAATCATGTAGAACTGTTGTTCTGGCTGGTGGTTTCAAATATGTTTTTTACTGTTCGTTTTTTAACATATATTTGTTGTGCTCATCCCCAATGACTTACTGAGATTTTCCTATCAGATGGATTGCACATGATTAAAAATCATTGAAACCAGCAATGAAGTTGTGTATAACTTGCCAGTTCTGAATGACAGTGCCAAAAGGCGCAGCTCGGTGCTGTAGGACCAGCCTCTGGTGGAGATGATACCCGACATGATCCTGTTGGAGGCTCCACAACTCCACGACACGCAGCGTAGAGAGCGCTTGGGATTGCCGGGATTCCATGGTTTTTTCAAAAGTTCATCCAAGACCCATAGGATGTTTACAGCCAATCTTCAAGAAGGAACGATGTAGAATTTCAGGATGTTTACTAATCTGTTTACGACTTTGAAGCAAGTAGAACTCGTAGTGCTGTGTAAACATGCTGTTGTTGTATAAGGACCCAAGTGGAACAGCAGCAACTTATTTGTCCGAAGACAAGGTATTGTCTTCCTGCACCTCCCATTTCATCCCATGGCTTGCCATCATTTTAAATGCTGGTTTAGGACGAACCCAACTATCATATTGTTGCTTACATATCCCAGTAAATATCCAATTTCTTTAAATAAAGGGGGGTCCCTATTTGGGGCCTCCATGTTCCCCCACTCTCCATTTTCTGTGGCTAATATCAACAGTAAAATCAATGGTTGATTGCTGATTATACCCCGATCTCTTAATTATTAATTCATATCCGTGATGGTTTCTGACATCCTAAGTCTCTTTTCAATATCCTAGTTAATATTATCAATAAATATGTAATGATATTATTATTTACGGTACAACAATTGATTTTATCATATCATTATATTATATCATCATATCCTATTATAATCTATTATATATATACACCAAAAAACAACTCACTGCATGCTAACTGGCAGGTGCAAGGGCTCTGGTTAGGGAGCTCGCGACAGCGTCTTTGTGTGGTAAGCGCGCCGTGTCTTGACTGCTTGGCATGGCTCAATGTTTGCCGAAAATGCAAACCATTAGGGGAACACAATGGGACATGGTATATACATGTATATATATATATACTGTAAGCAATCATGTATGGCATTTGCAGCATGTATTTACTGCATCCTCCATTTTTGGGCAAACCCATGCTCTACTCGTATCTGCCTCTTGGATTGGCTGGTGCATGAGTGCTGGCCAAGGTTTGACGGCAGCATTTGTTTGTGCACTATCTTTTGCATTGGCCTTTGCGAGGCTCCGGGCTCCGGCTAGCCAAAGCGAGATGTTCTTGTCATTGGAAAGTGCTTGCAATTTTTAGAGACTGCATGCTGCAAAATCTCGCTCGAAAATCCCTCACTCATCGTAGCATTAAATATAACAGTGTGACCAGTGCTGCAGCCACTGCTGGATTATCTTTCGACGTACTCCTAGAGCTAAAGGCCAAGTCTAAGTGGCAGTGAATTGGAGGTGGTTGAATCCAAATCCATGTCGGAATAGATGAATGTGGCTCGGGAATGCTCGGGTTATTATGGGGAAATGCTGCAGGTCAGTTTGGCTTGGAGTGCCAGAGAGGTTGCTTAACTGCACGGTTTTGCTTTGGGGGGCCAACTCCTTTTGCCATAGTAAGGTCAGAGTGAGACGATTGGGGGCACTGGGAGACTAATGTGGGTAAAACAATGTCATAAACCACCCAATTTTTGATGGTAAACGTACGACTAGACATACCACCCATAAAAATGGTGATGACTGGGGGATGGTTTATGGATGTTTATGGCATTGTTTTACCCACATTAACAAGGATTATGACCACTTTGGGGTGGGAACTCTGAAATCCATTGAAATCCATTGGATTCATTGAGGCAGAGGTCCCTGCGATGGCTCAGTGCCTGAGGCATGGCGGCTGGGGCTGGATTGCAAATAATTCCAATGCTACTGTTGATGGAAGAAATCCTGCACCACTTTCAAGGGCCTACACTTGAAACCTCCTGCTCCTAATTTAATCTTGTTTGACGACACAGTGATCAAAATGGATTTGTGCGAGTGACGGAAATCCTGCACCACCTGTTGACATGTCATTCAACCTTGAGCTTGGGGGTGCGGGGGTACAAGTTATGCATTAGCAAATGATAGCAAATGTAAGGTTATAGACGTGGTGCAAGATTTCTTCCACCCACCGTGGCAGTGCATAGTTTGCTATATATCATATATGAATTATATATACGTATATATATATATACATATGATAGAATGATTGCAAATTAGAATGGAATTCATATGCAGTATCATTCCAATGGTTGAATAAATGATTGTATTGCATGTAGTTGACTCTTTATAATTGATATAATATATGGTTATACTAATCTGCAAAAGGTAGAGGATTTTACTTTTCTATCCTTTCGTGTGGTTGCATACTATATTGGGCCTGATGGGGAGTACCGTCACCTAGGATAGAGCATTTCCTGTTGTACATGCAGTAGACGTTGTATATGCAGTAGAAGAGGACGATCTGTTTTTAGCGACTGATGAATTCCACACTTTTTCTCTAGATTCTAGCAGTCACAGGCACATCGCGTTTCCTAAATAAACTTACGTAGGAAAATGCAACAATCCTGGGATGTATTGGGGCTGCTACAGGTGTTGGCAGCTCGAAAAAAAAAACATATCCACAATTCGTGGTGGCTGGTTCTGGGCTTTCCTCTTGTCATCTCGTGCCACGGTTGATTCCCGCAGATATATGCTCTTGGTCCTGCTTGTGGCCAGTGCCCTTTTTACTGGGCATGGCGCCAAGCGGATCCGGTGTGGCAGTGATTGCGAAGGATAGGAAGATAATGGTGGAAATATGTTGGCAACAATGGTTGTAATAATGGGATACTGATGGAATAGTCGTGGATAATATACGTAAACATCTGTAGTATAGAATGGGGTGATTTGTGCTGGTGTTTGATGCTTGTGCTGAGGGTCCTCTACTTGGTGGCAGTATATACGAACAATGCAGTTATCTAGTTTTACTCAACCGCACGCTGCAGGGAACCCCCGTGGACATTCAAAGTGGTTGCAAACTCTCAAAGAAATGTCCAAGCAGACAAGACTTCCCATGAGTCTAATTAGACAACATGAGAACATGGCCTTTGCATGCTTTCCCAATCTCATCATTCAGAAAGATACAAAAGGCAGAGCTATCTTACGTATCTTAGCCGGGAATCCAACTATGGAAATCTAGGATTCAAGGCTATTTGTAAAGGTTCAGCAGAAATGAATAGACATGGTTTTCTCCCAAAGTGGGGTATCTACGCGTATATGATCATATGTATGTATATATCATACCAATATTTATACTGCAAATAATATAATTATTATACTTATTTTACTGTGAACCAGACCATTTGATTATATAATATTAATTGATATTTGAAAAAAATGAAAATATTATATATACATATCTTGAACCATTAGATTCTACAGTTTTGTTGATCATTTATAATGTATAATTTATACCCTAAATGATTTCTTGGACCATGAGATTTTAGATGTGACACCTCGGTGCTGCTTCCAAGGTCGGGACCGGAAACTACGGCATTCAAAGTGCTTGGCATCGCTGGGATCCCTGGGGATGTACCTACCACATATAAGGCCTATGTAAGGCCTATGTAAGGGAATATCCCCTCAAAATATGGCCAACAATATGGTACTAACGTACCTCCATTTTGGGATCCTGGAATTCCCATTGATAGAATGGGGAAAATCATGAAACACTATCAATTTTTGGGTGGTCTCCTATTTAATACTATTTTCACACAAACTCCATATACATGACTGGCCAGCTTATCATCCGATAATGCCCTCTTGAATCGGAATTCACATCTGACGCACGCCCTAGGTCTTGGCAGGAGCAGCCTGGGTGCCCAGACACCATCACCGAGCAACTCCCCAAAATGGATGATTTATAGTCACTTTCTTCCACATTCTTGTAGGTCAAGGATGGCACCCCACAGACTTGCCGCATAGCCAAAGTTTCACTTGGAGTTCTAGCTGCGGCTTTCGCCAAGGCCTATGGAAATCCAGTCACCCAGCGGCAGAGAGGGGTTTGATGAGTTTTGGCGAGCAGAATGTCAAACCAGAACGTGCAATAAGAAATCATTGTGAATGAGGTTAAGAATAGTTAGGGCATGTTGACACTAAATCCACTTCGAAATCTTAACCAACTCTTTCAATATCCGGAGTTCCATACAACTAATATATATAATTATATATATACACATTTATTCTATATATAATATGGTTATAATATATATATACATATATATATATAAGGTAGTGATTAAGTAGATATACACTATATGTATATATATATATTATACACGTTTACAATGTTTTATTGGCATCATCCCGAGGCCTTGGCTTTGGCCGTGGAGGCCTGGTCTCGTCACACGGAGCCCGAAGTCAAAGCCAGCGGCGTTGGAGGCGCTACGTTGAACCAAAATGGGGGGTTTCCATAAATGGAGGTACCCCAAGATGGGTGATTTATATGGGAAAGTCCTATTAAAATGGATGATTATGATGATTTAGGGGTACCTCCATTTATGGAAACCCCCATAACAGGGGGGGTTCAATGTGGATAATGTGGGTAAAACAATGCCATAAACCATCCCCCAAAGCATAAATAGGTGGTATGTCTACCATTCCCAAATGGGTGGTTTATAACATTGTTTTACCCACATTACTCCAATGGTTTGTGAACATCCTTTTAATAATGGACGATTTTAGGGGTACCATAGCGATTTGATGGTTTCCTGAAATGGTGCTACCCCAAATAATCATCCAAGTCATTAGACCATTTTAGTATTTAAGCCCATGGTTTTGGGAACCACCATTTTAAGAAATCTCCACATAGCAATTCATTGATGTTAAGAGGAAACACTGTTTAGCAATGGTAGTTTAACATGGTTATGACATAGATCCAATAATGGAAAATGGAACGTGGGGACATTTACAAATATTTATATACATTTATGGGCATTTATAGACATAGCCACAGAAAAATATTTTTTAAATTGTTGACCTTTTCGAAACATACCCTCCGGTAATTAAACATGGCCGGAAGAACTGAATGGAGGTGTATAGCTGAGGAAATCATCGAACTAAATGGGGAATTTTCATGCCAGCCATGTTTGATTACCAGATATTGACCCCAAACGTGGGAATGTGACACTAAGAAAATATCATGGGGATGTAATGGACATATATAGGATTTATACTAGTAACTAGTAGCCAGCAATCAACCAGGGAAATTGACTGGAAGACATAAACAATCTTTGGGTTTGACGAAAAGTGGAGGATGGGTCCGCAAGTTGTGGCAGGGCTTTTAGGTGGTTGGGCAAGCTAGACAATTGGTGTATAAATGGGTGTGTCTGAAAATAGTGTACCCCTTTTTACCCAATGGTTTTGCTGATCATTATCCCTATTAAATGGCTATTTGTTTGGGAATATACCCTATTTTCAGACAAACCTACATCATCATTCCGTGTTTGAACCGTTCGTGGACATAATTCGACTTCAACATTGAAATGTCACGTGCCCAATAAGGACATGTCTCCAAAAATTATAGTTCTATATAGTCGGCGAAATGGTTGAATGGCAAGTTTTGGATGTTTTGGATTGGTTTATTTATGATATCCAAAACAGTAGAATCAGTGAATAGACCAATCCAAATAAAACCAATTTTTTACAAGTTATTTAACTGATCTATGTTTTGGATTATGTTTATTCTTAATTTGTAGATAGAGTCAGTTAAGGACAACAGTGGGGCAAGGTGGTTTTACTTGAGAAAACCAACTAAAAACAACTTGCCCCCTATCTTCGGAAATCTTGAGACACTAGAGTGTTACCAACATTTCTTGATTCATGTTTCTTGTAGAACTCAACAACTATGTATTTCAATTCCATCTGCATTTGAACATATTGTGCTATTACTATTAAATCATATTAAATCAACATAATCTGGAAATCACATGAAATAATCACAATATAACCCTAAAATCAAAAAATCTCGGAGACATGCTCCTGATGCATTTTATGCTCCAAATTTTAGAGCATACTTTTCAGTAATCAAACATTGCTAGCTTGGAAATCTCCCAAGTAAATGATCTAGATGGAGGTTTTAATGGGAAAATCATCATGTATTTTCTTGCATGTTATAGAAATATCATTAAATATCTATACATGGAGGGAATTTGCCACATTAACCATTTTGGCCCTCGGTGTATGAGAATAATTAGAAGCCAGGTCCATCTGTGATGACTTCGTTCTCCTCTGCGCTGTCACCCAACTCCAGTGTAGCCCTCGTGGGAACCAGGCGTGGAAGTTTGACATGGGGTGACACCCGGAAGTCATGGCCATTCTAATATTTAATGTGGAACATGAGAAATCAGGGGACTTGGGGGTTTTGGGGTATCTCAGTATCTCATGTTTTTCAGAGAGACAGATTTCATAGCGTGGAGTTTCCGATTAAATGTGGCCAGCCTCAGCCAGTTCCAATTGCCTTCTGAGAAGGGCTGCAGATGTTTGCCATGCTTTTTCTTGGAGGACATTGTAGGCATTTCTCCTGCAGAAAGTTTCAAACCTCTTATTTTTTTTTGGAGACTTCAACTTGCTTAGTACTTTAGGCCATTGAGTACTCAATGACTCAATGTCAACAGTTAAGTATGAAATGGAGACACGTTTTGAAAATTCTTGAGGACAACATGCCTGGCAAGTCAAGAGCTTCTGGAGATCTTCCGAACTAGCAAACGTCATGAGTGGATCAATATATATATATACACCAAGATCTTGATCGCTCAAAAGTATGCCAGTAGTTTTTCGAGGCAGTTTCTTGAATCCAACTTGAAGAGATGCTATGAAAACTTGAGAAGCCAAGATGCCCGGTCCTTTACTAACTCATAGGAGGCAAATCTCCGAACTTGTGTGGATCCCAGCAGGAGGCTTGAGTGCCGATGATCACAAACATTGGGATTGTCTCAAAATCCGGACTATCAAAATCCCATCGTTTATATATAACGTATGATATATATATATATACATGTTTATCTTTATCATCTGTTTGAATGGTCATGTTCTCATGAAAACTACCATCTTGCGGTATCCAGGCAAACCCAAATCGGATTCGACCTGATTCCACATGATCTGAGGGAATTTACAAATTTGGAAGATGTTTCCAAGCAACCAGTGTGGCGTTTCAGCATTACGTGCAGAGTATCCGTATCTGTGCTTGTACGGGTTTGTCTGATTTTTGTTGGGAATGAAACGATTTCCCTTGATTAATCACCATGTTTCCCATATGTTTCCCATATGTTTCCCATATGTTTCCTATATGGTTCCCATATGTTTCCCATATGTTTCCCACAAAACACAGCCATTTTCTCACCTGGGACTGTCATGACCGTCCAGCTCTAAGGGCGAAGAAGGTGCTGGTGACGTGGGGAAGGCTGGAGCATCACCATCTGGAATCCATCCATTTGGTTATTGGAAGTCTGAAAAACCGTTCATTATTGGGTGTACACATCTATTCAATGCATATATAATAATATAATTATATATACATATGATATAATATATATAATTATATAATATATATATAATTATATATTATATATTATCTATATAATATGTACATAAATATATAGTACATATTTATATTATGTATATATATATATTGTGTAATATATGATATTCACCAATAAATACTTAACCACGTATTCACCATTGCTACTATATCCACCATCAATACATTATATTATACATTATATTATATTATATATATCCTACTATGTATTATATAACATACAAATGTAGTTCAGGCATTAATATATCCATTCATAGGGGGCTGATAATTTGGATATCCAATTACTGACAAGATGTGACAAGTGGCAAGATGTGTCTTTTGTGTTTCGGTGGGTTTCTAACACCTCCCGCACCCTCCACGGACTCTGGAAGCTTGCTGTTGCTGCAGGTCTTCATGCTCCCGGCGACTGCACTTCCTTCATGTTGATTCTGGAGTCTTTTGGATCTTGCCAATGTGTAAGAGTTTTTGGTGTATTCCTGAGCCTGGACTGAACAGGCCAACGGTTCTGGTCAACGACTCTTTTTAAACATTTCCAGCTGCGTAGAAGTCATGAAAATGATGAAGTTTGACGCAGCCAGGCACGACACTGCTACATGCAGCAGTATCCGCAAGAAAGTTCCTTGCTGCAGAAAAAGGCAACCTGCATGATGTCTTTGAGACTGCTTTTTTTTTCCCTCAATAAAGTTCACGGATCTGACAAAGTTTCACACAAGATTCTTCAAGAAACGATGAACATCGATGAACAGCTTTGCCAAGACTGTAGGTCCTGTAGGTTCAGGGCCTAGGGTTGACCACGAGTCAGTGTATGGACACTATGCCGGGCAAAATGTTGCAGAGTTGCTGGAAGAAAGTGGTTGTGTGAGAGTTAGTTGCTTTGATCAGAACCGGCGAAAGGTTTCGATCTGCAAGGAGAGCGATGTGCAGTCTGTAAACTTTTTGATCCTGGTTTTGCATCCTCTAATTCTGCCTGTTTCAATTTGTTGCATACTGATCAGCTGATCCGTTGCGCAAGGCGTTGCTTCAGCAGTTGCTGAAAGCCATGCACAAGGCGCAGGCGCAGCGGCGCAAAAACTGCTGCCTGATTTGTTGTGTTTGTTGGGGAGAAACATAATACCTACCAAAGAAAAGTACGGACTCAACCTGATTTTTTGGCGGACCAACTGATACGGACCCAACACGTTTCATTTGTTGATAGCAGAGACTTCTTGCGTGTACTCTGCACTTTTGCATTCCTTGAGCATTGACGACTCGTGCCTCGGCAAAATGGTCAGGAACAGCTTGGACGGAGAGAGCAAAAGAAAAGCGAGCTGCTGAAGAAAGACTGGCCTCAGTTTTCGCTTGACGATGCCATGTGGTCGGATGCTTTACAAATGTGTTACTAAGTAATGATTTGATATTGTTTGTGGTCAAACACACACATAATTATACTATGTGTGGATTATTGTAAACAAATCGAAATTGGATAATTATATAGTTCAATCATGTTTAATCAGTTTTGATGACTAGCAACGATTTTTGCGTGATCTGAAATCCAAAATCAGCACGATATTTGCGCATAGTTCAAAGAGCTTTTTCAGAATGACTTGTGGAAGTGTGTCCTGAAAAAAATATTGCAAATTTCTAACCAAAGACTTTTATCATCAGTTGATGGATATTTATTGATGGTTATAAAATGTTATATATATATAACCATGTCCAAAATCCATCAACTATTGGGAATAATCATCCCAACTGACTAATATTTTTCAAGATGGTTAAAACCATCAACCAGTTTATCATCAGTGCTGAGCATTCCATTTTGGGGCGCCTGTGCTGAAGGAGCAGGCGGATGAGCTTCTCAGCGCCCGGCGAGCTGACCGCTTCGCAGAACAACGCATGCAGGAGGTCGCTATTTGTGCGGTGCCCCAAAAGAAAGGCAGTTAAATAGCAACCAAATCCAATCCAAATGATCCAAAATGGTAGTTTTTATGGTAGTATTCATGGGACCAAATATGTGGGTAGAAGAATCGATGATGAGTACTATCAGAGAAATATGATGATCATTTGATGATGAGTATCGTGATGAACAATTTTCAGTGATATATACTCTTTACGCGTAAAATTCAGTAATATTAATGGTTAATTGATGACAGTCAGTTGGTGGTGAATGATGATTTTTGGCATAGACTATAGGACATTATATAACTATATTAAATATTATAATTAATACAATATGTTACGATATGATAGATTACAGACATGAACATACGTTTCAGTGCAATCTAATCCAATGCAATGCAATATAATGTATTACACCCCAATATAGTACATTATGATACGATACAATATTACGGGACAGAACGACGTAGTGTGACACAGATATGAATATTAATATGAATATAATCATTGATATGTACTGTATAACAAAATATTATCACATATGTATATATACCATATCATATTTAATATCATATCTGATATTATATTTGATATCATATATATAATATTATATGAAACATAATCTATAACATAATATATATATAATCATTTAGAATACAATATCATCATATATCTAATGATATTCATAACAGCAACAACAACAACAACAACAACAACCACAACCTCCATAACAGTAAACATACACATATGATTATGCATATATATATATATATCTTGTGGAAATGGCACCCCGAATACAAATCAAAGCACTGTGCAGATCCCTGTAGGCGCTCTCCGACCAGCAGCGAATGCTCAACAGCCGTGCAAAGAAGAAAAAACACCAGACTCTGAACTTCCAGGCGGGAAGATAATGGGAATATACTGGGAAGATATTAATTTTAATGGGAGTATGAAAAACCATTTAACTATAATTGATGGGAATCAATATATATATATACATCTAATGGCTATACAGTTGGAATCTAATGGGAATATTACTGTAATGGGAATGTGATTTTTCAAACCACATATGATAGATGGGAATCTAATGAGAGTATTAATCAGAAAAAAAATATGATAAATGGTAATATCATGGGAATCTAATAGGAATCTCATGAGAATCTTGTTAAATATGGTGACAGGTTTGTTCACCTTTTTTGGGATGAGTTCACCACAAGAGGCAGCTCATCATGGACAGATTTCATGGGATGAATTCGGGTTTCGCAGATTTTCCCTACCAATCCTCTGGGGAATGGATCCACTGGACATGGATCAAATTGACATCGGGCTTCTCATGGGTTGCAGTGACAGCCAGATCCCATGGTTTGTTTACCCTACGCGGTTTGTAATCAACATGGTGCTGACATGGCTCTTTTCCAGATTTTGGAATGCCAACTTCTAAGCTCAACAGCAGCAAAATCAGGAACGTGGCAATGCCCAACTACTGAAGAATACCCTGAGAGCCTGCAAATCCTTGAGCGAGATCTGAGCCAAGGATGCGCGTTTGCGCGCCTTCCCTATTGGGATTCCCATAGGAAAACTGGCAAGTTTGCCTCAAGCCATCAGCCAAAGAACAGCTTTTGGCATGTTTCTGAAATTCATCGGAGACGACGTGACGTCGCAGCCCTTGCGTCGTAAATGTGGTCTTGGTATGGCTTTGTTATGGCTTGTGCAACAGGTTTTCCGATTGTTATATCATCTCCCTAGGCCGCTGGCCGCATTTAGTAAGAACGGATCAGATGAGTTTGGCCAGCCATCTTTTCGACGTTGCCGGAATCCTGGCGAATTCTCAGTGACTTTTTCATGCCCATGATTTTTAGCACTGTCTAAAACAAGCCTACTAGTGGAAAGATTGGAGATACGAGCTTGATGCCACCACTAAGGATATCGGATGTCATTTCTTCCAACTGGAAGGGTTCCTGGACAAATCAGCATGGGCCATTGCTCGGAGCCATTTTGCTCCGCAAATCACCACATGAGAGCCGCAAGTTTAGCTGTGCTCAAACTGGAACTGTGTTTGTTCAAGGCCAGGACAAGCTTGCAGGAGGCTCAGGATTTCTGGAAGATTATAACATCCCTTTGATCCGTCCTTCGATGTCAGGCAGCAAAGAGCAGCATGAGCCGCCACTCACCTGTCCAACATTTGACGATAACTACGTGGCACCGTTGCATTTACACGATCTGAAGCCATGCTTGTGCCAGCGTTGGCTTTGGCACATCCCAAGGATGTCACTTGGCTGGCATGATAATTACAGTAATATGATGACTGCATGGTGTTGTTTAATTTTTAGGTTGTCCCACTGGCCGGAGTATCCTGGGTATTCAAATCAGATCAAACAGATCACACCTTGACTTCATACGTTTCTTGATCCCTTTCCTACCTATTGGATAATCATCAAGATTATGCTTTTGATGGAGATTTCCGGTTGATGGACTATGATACTAGTACTCCCCAATGAATAGACAGGGTAGGTTCATACACCTTATAAACCTTTGAGCCCTGCGCAGTTCACAATGCCTAGGTCACAAATGCTTTGCGCCGGCAATGCATTGGACACCAAAGCTACACTTGGTGCCTTGCAATTCCGACACAAAGTGCTTCAGTTGGGCGTCGCTTCCAAGTTAAATAAGCACTACACATCCAGATTGATGATTTCACTTATTTTCCAGGATAGCAGGATGGTTCTAGCTTCCAGTCAGCTTAAGCTGGAAGGATCTATGATGAATGACGTAACGGCACATTAATGGTTTCTATTTGTGTGTCTATCTATCAATCCATCCATGGATCCATCGATGGATCCATCACACCAAGTATCTATCCATCTATCCATCTATTATCTATCCATCTATTCATCTATCCATCGATCCATCTATCCATCTATCCATGAACAAACAATCCATCGATCCATGATCCATCAATCCATCTATCCATAGATCGATCTATCCATAGATCCATCTATCGATCAATCCATCTATCATCTACCCATCTATCTATCCATCTATTTACCTATCTGTCTAATCTGATCTGATCTGATTTAATCCAATCTAATCTAATCTATTTTGATTTAATCTAGTCTGATCAAATTCAATCCAATCTAATCTATCTATCCAATCCTTGTGGAAATATGTTTATGGTGGTGCATCCAACGTAGGTATAGGCTACAAGTTTGATCGAAACTTGGCAATAGGAGTGTGTCGGTTTATTGGCATGGTGTTTCAATTGTGTGAACGCAACATGTTATGGGTAGGAAAGTTGTTTGAGTTACTAGTCCCCGAATTCATGTCGCTTTTCAATAACAAGGCACAAACCTTGACAAGCAATGTCATCATCAGACTTGATTTGGAGTGTATAGCGTACTATGACAACATTGAATATAGTTGGAATATATTTGGAATATGTTGGAATAAACCAGCTGAAAGCCGGCAAAGTTTGACACTGGCAGGCTAGCTTCGTCGCCATTCAGACTTGGTAGACGACCTTCGGAGCAGAATCGCAGCTCGATCATTACAGTGTAGCTGCTGGACAGTGATTTGCTGCCCCTTGTGGTGAAAGTAGTGCCATTTCTGGCTCTTTTACTTTTAAAACAAGCTAAGTTAATTCTATCTTTGGCGTGCTTAATTTGAATTCTGTTCGCATGATTGCCTTGCCGCATTTCACTGTCAAAACATTTCATATTTGCAAAACACCAGAAACCACAGAAGTGCTGTGCAGAAAACTTAACCTTGGAGCTCATTGATGTATATTACGTAGGTCAGCCCATTTCAGCCTGCTTGCAGCCTCGAGGCAATTCCAGATATATTGTCATATGATGTAATATTATGTTAATGTTTTTCAATATCCTCAAGCATAGACCAAGGGATGAGTGTTTTAGTAAAATCGCGGACATATTTCGACTTCCTGCTGTGCTGGAAAGGCGACCCAAGGCGCTTATGGCTGGCAATTTGCTTGGCACCAGGCAGGGACGTTGCTCTCCCCTTGACATCCAGAGGACCATTCAAGTTGCCAGATAGGAGGTGAGTATTCCTGAATGGATGCCGGATGGATAGAATATGAAGCTCCAGCTCTAGAAGGTTTGAGTTGAACATGTGCTGAAAACACACGCTTTGTGTGTTTGTATTCTGTAGTTTGCCTCCTACGAGCTGGAAATACTGCAGGTTTATAGAACATATGGAACACCCTTAACTTGAAGACATTTGATAATATACTATAACAATCCATAATATACCGTCTATAATCATCTATATGCATCTACATCAATCTATATCCATCTACATCCATCGTTGGCTCTGAAGATCATGCACTGTGCCTCCCAGAGGCCTGCGGCGTTCCAATGGACAGTGCAGGTCAGCGCTTCTTCGGCATGCAGGTACCGGAGATCCATGTTGGACGATTATTGATGTGCCCTGCTCCAATACTTATGATAGGAGTCTGAGCATCGGTGGTCGAGGAGCCATACCTCATCCATTTTTGACGCCAGAGTGTGGAAATGTCGCTGATCTCACTGATTTTTACCCCTATCAGCCCTGAAGTTCACAACTATGTGCTTTGCATTGTTTGTTGTTTTGGTTTTACTGTTTTTCTATCTTAATGATTCATCATATTCATGATTCATTGACTGGAAACCCATTGGGTAGTTTCTCTAACATGCCGTGTTTGTTCCAAAGCACAAAGCGGCAGGCTACTCTGCTGGAGAGGCAGTGGCACAGTGGAAACAGTTGCATTACTTTGCGAATGAATTTAATTAATTGTAGTACTGTAAGTCATCATTTGTTGTATCATTCTATGATATTCTATGCCTATAGATTATAACTTGGAAATGCTTGGAATTATTGATCAAGCTATATATATATATCAGGATGAACTGGGGATGGGTCAAAACTAATTATTACATATTATTACCATATTACATATTATTACCATATTAAATATTATATATTACCATATTAAATATTATATATTACCATATTATTACCATATTATTACCATATTATTATCATATTATTACCATATGATTGCCATATTTGGGGGCTTTATTCACATCCATTAACCAGCTATGACCATCAGGGCACCATTGGGGTACCTATCCGGAAACTGCCCGGCAGAACCGCTTTGTCGCCAGGTCTACGAGGTGCCGCCGTTGACGGAAGACGAGGCACTTGTGGTTGGCACCTGAGGGACCGCTACTCAGCTACTCCCTGCCATTGCAGAGATAGTAAGCTCCAAAAAGATAACATATGTTTAGTAAAGTTTAGTACTTTAAGGTATAGATTTCTGAATAAAACATTGTGTTTCGACGGCTTTTGCTGGTTTTTGTTGGAGGTAGGTTAGTACATGTTAGTACTATAGACTATATACAATGTATACATGACTCGACCACGGCCCTGAGGTCTGGCTGCATGGTGTTGGTGACACCGGGAAAGGTCCAAATCTGAGAAGTGGACTCGTAGTTACTATACTTCACTATATTGCTAACCATACAAAATTAATACCGCGGCAATACAATACAATACTATCCTACATTCAACAATACAATACAAGATGATATACATGTGCGCTGCACATGTCTATGTGTATGATCCTGCGTTGGAATCAAGAGACTTTCCTTTGAAGTGCAGCAGTGAATAAGCACGTCGTTACCAGGCTGGTCAAACAGCGCTCCGGCACTACAGCAGATGGGCGTCTCAGAAGTTGAAGTGGTTGTTTGTGTTTTTCTTTCGGTTGGAGGGGAACCTGGTGGTCATCCAGTTTTGAATGGGTCCGCATTGTCAGACAAGCTTCAAAATCACCGAACGTGTGCCATTAGTAACATTAGTCCAATTTCAACCCACACACCAATTACCAAGTGATTTTCATTTTAGTGGACTGGGTCGTTGCACAATCAAGAGCTGGTTGAACAGATTGACCCGGATCATGTACAGGAAATCTATGGAAATCTGCTATGGGGGATGCAACATCCGTACACACGTAGGGGAGTGCTTTGGACTTTGAAATAGAAGGGAGTCATTCAATGCAGATTGGGCAAGATGGGGAAGATAGAAGACATGGAAGCCTATATTAAAGTATGCGCTCTGACCTCGCTCTTTCAACTTCGAAATTGGGATAATTTCGGTAATTTGCCCCAACTTGTATAGTATGTTCATGTATATATTTTCAACAACACATATCAACTTAAATGGTTGTTTGATGATTCAGGGGCTTACTTCCTACCTTTCTTCTAATAGGGGACTATGAAAATCCATGGAATCCATGAACTGTACATGAAAATCGAGCGCCAAATTGTTCAACCGAGGCCTTCCAATGCTTCATTTCCTCTTCCCCACCGCTCCTTTGAGAGGCGTCATGTTCTGCATGTCTTTAGCGTCCTAACAGGGACGTTACTGGATGTGTATGATAGCTGCATCCAATATTCATCCATATTTGCTTACTTATAAATTAAATGTATATATATATATATCTATAACTATTATTATCTTAAGTTATACATAGACATATCTACATATTTTTGGAGTCATGAAACCAGCAGCAGAGGCACTTTTGCGAGGTACACTCGCTACTAGTAGCATGTTGATTCCAGGCTCAAGCAGTCTTATGGCCATTATATACTAGACTTGACATTTCCATTTTGTCCACCCTTAAAT